CAGGGAGTCTGCTTCTCCCTCTGACCCTCCCCCCTCTCATGTGCTCTCTCTCATTCTCTCTCTCTCAAATAAATAAAATCTTTAAAAAAAAAAAAAGAAGCACCACATTCTGTAGATCTGGAAATAATCCGGTAATTATTTTACACTTAACTTTATAACCTAGAACATAGTGGTTCATAACAGACATTCAGTGGTGACACAGCTCTATGAAGCATCACCACAAAAGCAAAAATTCTGGGACTGTGTCACCTTTTAAAACGGGATATAAGAAAATAACATCAATAAAACCATGTATTTTCTAGTTTGGGGAAATTTTTATACCAAAAATACTGCCTACGCAAATGTGCTTTTATTATCTACTGTATTGTTAATCTAACAACTCAATACAAACCAAATGGCTATGGTGAAATTTAGTAGCAGTAGTTTATAAATTAAGGAGGAATAGCAATTTACAACTTCTGCCATCTCAAGGTGGTATTGTTGATGCACTAATAAACCTTCCCAGAAAATTGGAAAGTTCTGATTAGGAGCTTTGCAGCATTATCAAGCATTGCATGGTGGGTGGGCTTCTCAGTAGGATATGAATTAGGAGTCCTCAATACACTTTAGTAACACAAATCTTACTTTATGAATTCCAAGTTTAGAAATCTATTGTCTTGCATATTTTAGTAGGCTTTACTAGTAAGTAGCTATTAGTCTGCTCAGGGCAATTTCAGGATTTTCTGTTGGAAATTGGATTAATTTCTCTAGTGATTGAAAAAGGGAGGGGGAGGGAGAGAGGGTTCGAGGAAAGTGAGACGAGGAGAAAGCCAGCTTTCTGCTGCTGCAGGAGGTTGAACACAGAGCACGCAGAAGAATTGGTTCCTAGTTTATGGAACTGACAGATCTCTTATTACACTTCCTTTTTTTTCTATAGTAATAAGAAGAGGCAGTTTTCCGTGACAGATGGAAGGGCCTCGATTTCATTTTACTGCTGTGCGTTGGAGGATTTACATCCTTTTTATGTGCAAGAATATACTAAAACATTGATTAATAATTTTATTTCTTACATCTTATGTACAATTACATGTCCTCCCTTTTTACTCTAAGCTCGTGGCCAGTATTTCTCCCGTCTCCTTGGCTGAGTCTTCATCATCTGGACCTGGCAGCGTAGGGTGCCCGTGGGCTCCGACATCAGGCTCAGGCTTTCTCTCTGCTTGGTCACCAGCGATCAGCCCCTCTCTCCGGGAATTTGCTGGTCTCACAGTAGCCCCAGCCCCACCCTCTGCCCCAAACTCTGGGCTTTTTTATTTAGCTGCCCTCACTTCCCCTTGGGTGTAGGCTTCTTCGTTTCCGTCCTCCCGCATCCCCAGTGCTCCTCCCCCAGGCTTTCCCGAATTGGTAAATGGCGATTCATAGGTCTCCTTGCTCAGACCAAAAACCTTGGGAGTTGTCCTGCCTCTCCATCCTCTCACACCCTACTTCCAGCCAGTCAGAGATCCTTCTGGGCTCTACCTTTGACTACACCCAGAATTCCACCCTGGCTCTCCACTCCTCTCTGCCCCACTGATCCAGACCACCGTCGTCTTCAGATCCCGAGTCTGTATAGGCACTGTACTATGGGCTCCCACCAGTGGCCTCTGTCCGTTCTTGTCCATTTCTATTACAGCATAGTTAGAGCCATCTCTTTTAAATATAAATCAGACCAGGTTACTCCCCTACTTAAAACCCTTGGTTTCCCATCACATTTAGAATAAAACTCTGAAGTCCTTACCATCTCCTATAAGGTCTTCTGCCTCCTCCCCAACCTGATTACCTGTCCACTACTGTCTCAGCCTCTGCTGTGCCGACCTTCTTGCTTTTTCTCATGGCGCTTTGTCACTCGCTGTTTGATCTCCGCCTGGATGCTCCTCTCCCAGAGAAGATGACTGACAGTGTCTGGGTCTGCCTTCCTTCCCCGGGGCTGGAAGCTCACTGAGGTCAGCTGCAGTATTTCGAGAGCACCCAGAACAGTGCTTCTGGGGATAATAGGTACTCAAGAAATAAATCTTGCATGAATGAATGATGTTTTCATAGTAATTACATTCTACTTCGTAACCACAATTACTTAGTTCTAATTGGAGGTTACTTGTTCTATTGCTCACCGCTGTTACGTCCGTAATTTTCACCAAGTCTAAAATGCACATTTTGGGCAACCTGAGTAAGGTGTCGAGGCAGGTATTCCCACAGGAATATCATGACTGCCCCCTGGCTGACAGTGATCGAAAGCGCAGTCAATGCAAGATGCATCCCAAGTTCAGAGAGGTTGCAATGTGGGAAAAAAAAATACAGAAGAATTTTTTCTTAGAATTGACGAAACCGAATATATTGGGTACTCCCTATCTTGAAATACTTGGATTCAGTTTTCATCTGATTTAATTATTCCCTAAAGTGGTCGTTTCCATCAAAGGCACAAGAATGAAAGTGTGGCAACCAGCTTGGGTGGCCTGGTCTGTGATTTTTGCCCACCTGCTTCCCGCACCCCTGCTTGCATTAGGAGGCTACGATGCTAGCATGAGCATCCCTTTCTCTCCCTGTGGAACTCAGCATTCAGATAAGATCTCTCTGTATCCCCCTTGTCACTTAAAAGTTTTCTCTCCTAGTATTCCTGTGTCTGTTTCTGCTTTCCTTTTTGGCTGTGGGAGACCGTGGGCAACAGTGGGTCCTCTCCCAGCCGTGCAAGGGATAGATTCTGCGGCACAGTTCTAGTCAAGTAGAGTGGGCAGCCAGGAGATTGGAGGACGCATGTCTGAAACAAATGGCTGGGACCGGGAATGCAGAAGACATCAGTTCCCCTTTCGTTGCCAGGGTTCCAGATGGTTACACTTTAATAATCTGTTACTATTAATAGTTCTTTCCTCTTTTGTCTGCATTTGTTTGAAGTCTATCTCCTCAGAATTCTGAATTGACTTTTCCGGAAGTTACTTGAGTCTGAATTTTTTTTTTTCCCCCTTGGTAGGGAAAAGAAGTTGTCACAAAATTGCTTGGATCCTTAAGCTAAGTGGGCATGATGGCTTCACGCAGAACACCTGTTCCATTGCTGTTTTATCTGTCAATAAAATTGTTAATTTTTTTATGTACTGAAAGTTCTCAACACTGCAGTTAATATTGGCTCTTTGTGCTCTGACACCAGACTTCCTATAAATTAATGAAAAGTTTTGTGCTTTGGGTTCATTCTAGATCTCAAACTTAATGTCATGTATCTCACTTTTTCACAAGAGGAAGGCTTAGCCATAGATAGAGCACTCAAATGCCTTATAGGATATGAATTGTTGCCTCATTTCAGTTCCTTTGATAAAGGTTCAAGGCGTACTAAACCTTGATTTTCATCAGTCAGCCAGTATTTCGTAGTTAAATTGTGGAAGTGGGGAAGAATCTGTAAACTCGGGGTGATCTGTTCCATTTTGTTTTATGGGATCTTTTTATGAACTTATTAGGGACTTTGCTTAGTTGGTCATCAGTGTTCAAGCTTTAAGTGATCTAAAGTCAACTTTTTAAACTAATATTTAATTCCTTTTTTTCCCTGTAGCTTTCACAAAATTGATCACAGTCAATGGACAAGAATATCATCTTCAACTTGTCGACACAGCAGGGCAAGTAAGTCTCTAGTGTCTCAATCTTCTCGCTGTCCTTCTGTCTGGCAGTCCCGGCCCCACCATCGATGCTTCAGCACAACAGCAATGCCAAGGAAACCCTTTGGGGTTTATTAACGGGCTGTCTACCAAGACATTTATGGCAGTTTTTCCAAATCATTAACTTGCTCTTCTACTTTAGAATTGTGTGAAATATACTCATAGCATTGGGAAGGTTTGTATTTATCCGTAGGATAGTGTATTTCCGTTTTGTAAACTTGCGTTCTATATCAGGATCCTATTAATACTTTTTTCTTCCTTTCTAATATGTATGTTACATCAAGACAAAAGTAAGTCTTTTCCAGAGGAAAGGCATGAGAAAGGTATAGGGCAGAAAGGAGCTGGTTTATTGATAGGTCACATGATTACTAGATTAGGGAGTGTAGATTTGATTTGTAGATAGTAGGTAATTGCCAAAGATTAAATAACCAAAAAAATAAAAATAAACCAACACCATAGTCACAGTTTAACATAGTAGGGATTTGAGGAATGGAAGACCAAGGGAATTGACTAGAAGCAGTGGGTGAAAGAAGTTCAGAGAACTGAAGAGTACAAACAAACCCCTTAACCCTGATGGCTAAACTTCCCCATTCCCATGGCGCCCAGTCCAGCCTTTACTAGAAACCGTTCTGTTGGGCTGAATCTGTTAAACAGCTGCTGGATGTGGGGATGTTGGTCTCTGAGTCCTTCCTTGCATTTTACAATCGACAAAGGATCAGACTAGCAGGAGGGTGCGTGTAGTGTAATCTGGTCTGCCATGTTAAATGGAGGCTTTTCTTCTGGAACCTGGGGAGATTGAGATAGACCTAGAATGGTGTGGCCTTCTTATGGGTTTGGAATGAACTCCCTCTGCTTTATGTTTTGAAGTGAACACAGAAGCAAAGTGTAGCACCCTAGTGAGCAAGAAAATAGTTATATTGAGGGGGGTGAGCACTGAAGAAACCCTGGAGTTTCAATTCTGGAAGCTTCAAAGAAAATAAATGGGATGTGTATATCATAGAGATCTACCACGTGTCTCCCTCGTTCACCCTACACATGCCCCCTGGTGGTGGGTATAAGGGGCTTCCGTCACCAGACCTCACGATGGCTGTCTTAGAGCTGAGCCGTCCTAGGCTCTTATTCTGCAGGTACCTGTCAGTGACAGAAAGGGGGTATGGAGCTTAAAGGAACAAGGGGAGCAGTAGAAGTCTTCATAGGAGAGTGAGGATGTGGAGGACACAGCTTATTTTAGAAGTTACCATAGAAGAGCCTCTGGGATAAGACATTGTATTGGATTCTCAGAGTTTGTATCTTTTATGGTTAAGGTGACTGTAATTTATTGCCTAAAACAAGACACTTAAGAGTGAAGGGAGCCCTGGTAATAATTATGCTGGGACAGCAGGTGTTAAACGGTAGTGTCCTGGGCCCAGAAATACGGCCACATCATTCATAGTGGGCCTCTGACATCATCAAGATTTGGGTTTGCTTTTTCTATCTTCATTTTGAATTTTCATTAAGATTCTGGAAAGTGGGGATGAGGATGTAAATTGGCAAATCACTTTTATGTGACGTTATTGTAGAAGTACATTTTGTAGTAGGCCAGGAGGAGAACCAGTATTTCAGAGTTGTTGGAATGTGGCTCTGCAGTCACGCTGCCGGGGCTTGAATCCTGGGTTTTTTTACTAACCAGCTGACCTTGAGAAAGTTATGAACCTTTCTGTGCCTCAGATTCTTCTTCCGTAAATTGGCGATGTAGTGCCTGCCTTCACAGGACTGTCGCATGGTCTAGAGTGGATGTGTGAGTTTCACGAGGATTTGGTCCTTATTTGTAGATCTTTGATGTTTCTAAGACCAGAGGCGTGCCTAGCATGGCAACTTGATGTTGATGTTAACAAGACACTGAATGGAATAGTGAGGGTGTCGCTTATACTTGGAGTAGAGCTGTCCTTGAAAACATTTTTCTGGAGAGAAAATTTCTTTATGTTGACTTCTTATCAAAATAGAAGATGTGTTCCTCTAGGGTTCTATTTTGCTCTAAAGTCTAAATGTACACTGGAGCATCACATGCCTTTAACTGTTTTGATGACAGAATAATAAAGGATGCCCCCCCTCCAAAGAAGCAGAGATCTCGGGGAGTGAGTGTATGGTGTGAGGGATGGCAAAGGCAAGGTCAGTGACTAGCTCTGCCTGTCTTGCTCTTACTGCCAGATAAGAATAGTTAGAGAATTTTTGCACAGAATATTTCAGTTGGGAGACTATGGAATAGAAGGTCATGTTCGTATCTGTGATCCGTGATTATGCGATGCGCGCACTTCCTTGTGCTGTAGAACCACGTACACCTCGTTTGGTAGCAACTGGATGAGATGTCACATTTACAGCTGCTCCAAGAGCTGTTTCTAAAATGGGATTCTGGGGCGCCTGGCTGGCTCAGTCGTTAAGCATCTGCCTTTGGGTCAGGTCATGATCCCAGGGTCCTGGGATCGAGCCCCGCGTTGGGCTCCCTGCTGAGCAGGCAGCCTGCATCTCCCTCTCCCACTCCCCCTGCTTGTGCGTGCGCTGTCAAATAAATAAATACATCTTTAAAAAAAAAAAAGAAAGAAAATCATTAAAATTAAAAAAGAAAAGAAAATTGGATTCCGCTGGGCTGGGGCTGAGACCCCCCAGTGGCGGGGGAGATGATGAAGAAAGGACAGATCCTGTCACCACCATCTAGAGCACATTTGTTCACTGGTGTACACGTTTTAGGAGTAAAACTGTAGCAACATATGATGGCAAGTCCTATTTACTTAGTAGTTTATATCGTAGCTGGTTTCATTGCCCAGCAAGGGATGAGATGAACATAGTTAAATACAGGTCGATTATTTTTAGTTTGCATGAAAGATTTTGTTTGGGCCTAATTTAAGTAGACTCAGTGACAAGTGACTCAGTGGCAGTCGTGTTTATAATGTCAAATCCCCCCTTTTAAAACAAGTATTAAATTACAGTTTTTTAAAAATAGTACTAAATAGGGGCGCCTGGGTGGCTCGGTTGGGCGACTGCTTTCGGGTCAGGTCATGATCCTGGAGTCCGGGATCGAGTCCCGCATCGGGCTCCCTGCTCAGCGGGGAGTCTGCTTCTCCCTCTGACCCTCCTCCCTCTCATGCTGTCTCTCGTTCTCTCTCTCTCTCAGATAAATAAAATCTTTAAAAAAAAAAATAGTACTAAATGCACATGTTACAGAAATAAAATAGCGCAAAACGGTAAATAGTAAAACTGCGGGCTTTCCCCCTCCGGCGGCATTAGCTCCACCCTCCGAGAGCAGCCCCATCACCGGTTTATGGTATGTGCTTCCCGGATATTGTCTACATGAACATACAGATAGAGTTGGGGTTTTTTTCTTTTTCTCGCTTGAAGTAAGGTATCTCCGTGTCTCCATCTTGGAGGTGATCCCATAGCCATACATACGGCCGCGGTTTTCCTCCGCGTGGCTGCATAATACTGTGTCGCTTGGCTACAGCCTACTCGGATGACTGATGGACACGGACGTGGTTTCCAGCCTCGCTGCCCCCGGCAGGGGCCCCGGCCGTCAGCGTCTTGCGTCATTTGGGGCCGTGCGCGCGTGCGTGTGAGAGCACGTCCCCGGCCGGCAGTTACGTTCTCGCCCGCAAGGAGCGAGTGCGCGCTCTCACCTGCACGCGCATCTGCGCAGTGTTTTAGCGAATCTCTTGTTACGTGCCACTCCAGTAGGTGAGGGAGAGTATCCCGGTTAATAAGTATTTTTTTTTTCTCATGAAGGAGTTTGAGCGTGTTTTCCTGTTGGAGGGCATTTGTATCTCCTTCTCTGGGAGTTCTCCTGTCCGTGTACTTTGCCCTTTTTCTCTTGGGCGGAGCGTCTTGGCTTATTGGTTTGAGAGACCCCTTCATAATGCGCAGAAAATCAGCATTGTATGCGACGTGAGCCGCAAGGTTTTGGTTTGTTTTCAGTCTATGGTTTTTGTTTGAAAGGTTTTTAGTCATGAAGAACTTTCTCATTTTCATATAGTTGAATTTATTAATCTCTTTTCAACTGATACTATTCTTTTTTTTTGAGAGCGAGAGAGAAAGCACGAGTGGGGAAGGGGAGAGGGAGACGCAGACTCTCTGCTGATCAGGGAGCCCGACGTGGGGCCCAATCCCAGGATCTAGAGATCACAACCTGAGCCGAAGGCAGTCACTTAACCAACTGAGCCACCCAGGCGCCCCCCGTGATACTTTCTAACTGGTGGTGGTTTGCGCCACGCCTCTGAAATACGATGACTCTTTTCTTTATTTCCATGTCTTCTCTTCAGGGAAAAGGTGGTTTGAACTCTGGATATACTGCAGCTCAGCTGGTGACTAAAATCATTTGGAATTTTGTTTTTAATCTGGGTTTAAAGACCTCTCATTCCATTAACAAAAATGCATTCTCAGAATTTAACACTAAAATGAACTCAATTTAATGAAACTAATATGAAACTGATAATGAAAACAAAGGATTTATTTTGCAAATGTGGTAAGCCCTGAGATGTAGAAACGCTGTCTTCTGATGAATGATTACTATTGATGATATCAAAGAGCTGAGAGTAAAACTTAATTTTCCTTTGATTTTTTATTTTTTAAAGATACTTTATTACTATGGTAAATAGCAATAATTTGGGGCAGTAATTCAGGGCCATCATGAACATTAGTTGTAACCATACTGTGGAATTGCAAAGTTAACAGAGACAGTTACTTGATACAATGATGGTTTGACCTGATTTTCTATAATAGTGCTTAGGATAAGTGGCATGTTGATAATTATATTTCAACAGAGAATAAAATGTTTTATACCAGGCAGTGGCATTGTCCTAAGACACACTGCATTGATATTAGACCTTTAGTATGCTTTAATAATTCTAAAGCTGAGTTTTGAGTTTCCTAAAGCTGCTTTATGAAACTGGGTACTGATACATTGTTATGTAATGTGTACCTTTGTTTTTAATTCCTAAACTTGCTCAATAAATAACTGTTTGATCCTCAGAAGTCTGGGTACACCCGGTCCAGCGTTTTGATTTTCTCCTCTCTCCTTGCCCTCTCAAGTGCTGGGGACAACCCACTAACGACCAATAGACTGGCACTCCGGCCGTTGTGACTTACACGCAGAGAATAGGTTTAGTGAGGACGTAACAGTTTTAGGTAGGAAAATACAGATTTATGGAATAAACCAGAAGCACTCATGAATTTCCCATGAGAACTAAAGTTCTGGACTTTATCTCCATAAAAGAACTGTTAGTCCTTTTCGCCCCCTATAAGATCACAGGACCTGTTGTCTTGTCATTCCTTCCATCCTCTTTCCCCAGGAATTGCAGGAGTTACTAGCCTTCTCCACAAAAGTCTTAGAATAGCCAGAGTCGCTTTTCGAGTGTTGGCTTAAAGCAATTATCAGCCCCAAACCAGTCTTAAATAAGTCCTAAGTGTGTAGGCTGTGTTTCTAGAAGAATATTTTAATCCACTTTGTTTCCTTTGATTTCTTTGACCAGGTCATGTGTGAAAAACTTTGGGTACAGATTGCTTGTTATGCTACATGAAGACTTCTACTCAAATGGAATTATTTTTTCTCCCACAGGATGAATACTCCATCTTTCCTCAGACATACTCCATAGATATTAATGGTTACATTCTTGTGTATTCTGTTACATCAATCAAAAGGTAGGAGTCACTCCTGCTGCTTGCTTGAGTTTGTTTGCTCTGCATAGATAGCATTCATTGTTTTAAAGGATCTGATGGAATTGGTTATAGCAACTCGGACTTACCAGACTAAATGTTTTTCAGTGATTGTCTTGTGGAGCAAATAGGTTGTTAAGGGAGAAAAAATATCCCAGTAGACGTTCTCTGACACTGATAGAATAAAAACTGTATTTCTTCCCTCCAGCTGCCTAGATAGTGATTGCACATGATCTGAGCTCTTTTGCTAATGGAAATGGGAACTACATAAATTGATTTTACTTTTTGTGTGTTTTCACCATATTAATGTGGATCACAGGCTGACTGCTAGGGCCTTCTAGCTAAAGAACATCCTACAAATAGAGATTAAAATTCGTGTTTATGTGATTTGTCAGCCAAGTGTTAGACTTTCCCATTTAAATATCTCACCTATTTCATTTTGAATATTCTCAGTAAGGGTTACTTGGTGTCAAATACATGCACACATGAAGAAAGATTTGTAGGAAAGAATTAAGGAATTCCTTGTGTTCGGGTTATTTTATATTAAAATGGTGAGTTGATGACATTATATGTTTTTCCCATGATAAACATTATATAACACTAAGATGGATGTCTTATTTCGTGCTTCTGTTTTACAGTTTTGAAGTGATTAAAGTTATTCATGGCAAATTGTTGGACATGGTGGGGAAAGTGCAGTAAGTAGTAATAGTTTCTCTCTTGTTAGATACACTCCTTATAGTTCTGTCTTCTGAACAATAAGATCTGGCACTGACTAGTTTCCTTTGGCTTTTTTGTCTCACATTACTAGAATACCTATTATGTTGGTTGGAAATAAGAAAGACCTCCATATGGAAAGGTATGTAACTTCTGAATAATTGATTTATAAAATCAAGTCTGAGATGTATGCACTAAAGTACTTTTTGTAATTATTATTCTCATGGTGAAAATATTCTTAGGTGTAGCATATCTGTGTTCAGAAATATGGCAGTGAGTGTACCCAAGCAGCAAAACCAATATAAAATCTCACCCGTCCTGACCAATGTTTTCTCTAGAAAAGAGGGAGCAAAGGTGGTAGGAAATTAGCTTTGGGTTCTTCCACCATTTTGTGCAAAGTGGACTCTAAAGAGACCACAGAAGCACTTATTCATTCAACAAATAGTTTCTGAGTACTGCAGCCAGGATTAGGTCAGCGAACAGGGCCGCGGAGCCCAGTCTGGAGACGAGGAGGCTCACCAGCTGGATGCCTGTCGCCTGCGCGCAGCAGAGTTGAGCTGTGGGCCCCTTCACGGCTGCCCTTCCTCGGGTGCTCACAGCCCAGCTCGCTGTGAAATAGTCCGTGTCCTGGGTATTGGAAAACACAGTCGTGTTCTCTGAACCTCGAGGGCTTGCTGGAGCATGGGTAACCCCAAAAGGTCACATCTGTCCCGTTCCCCAACTTAGGCATTAATAAAGTGCTCCTCTGTGGTACGCACTGGATGATAAGACTGAGCAGAGAGAATTCTTCTGCGTTACAAGAAAACAGTTGATAAAAGTGGAGCCTGGTTTGTTAATAATTATAGATGTTTTCTAAATAAAGAGCGCAGTACATTAATTAGAATTTTCTTTTTCCTCTAGGGTGATCAGTTATGAAGAAGGGAAAGCGTTAGCAGAGTCTTGGAATGCGGCTTTCTTGGAATCTTCTGCTAAAGAAAATCAGGTACCAAGTTTGTAGAACTCCTTTCATGCTGCAGCCGTCAGTCCCAGGCCTGTGTCCCCTCAGTCAGCCGAGCCCCGCCCTCCTTGCCTCTCCTGTTTCACCTGTGTCCTTCCTTCCACCACTCTCGTATCAGCCTTTGGGTTGCTATCAGGATTCTGCTTCCAAAGGGACCTAGAATATTTGTAGGATAAAACAGAAGTTAAGAGTAAAGGAAAGACTACTTTGTGAACATAGATTATTATTTTTGTTTTATATTAAAGGCTGGTACAGAAGTAAGTCCAGACGTAGAAAAGAAACGAGAATGATCTTAAATCATTTTGGCAATAATTTTGTGCCTACACCAAGCCCCTTTCTCTGTAGGATGAAACGGAGTGTGGTGGATGTATTGTTTCTCACATAGAAACTGTTAAGAACCGTTTTACAGGCCTCTGTTCCCAGGTCAGCCCGGCAGATGTTCCGTTAAAGTCACATCCTAGGAAGGCTGTCGGTTTTATCTGCGGAGGCTTCACACAGCCTCTCTTTCCTTTTCCTCCCAAGGCCTTACTGTAGCCCCGCAGCGCCCCAGCTCGCCTCCTGCCTCCATTTTCTCTCCAGTGTTTCTCTGCGGCCACTAACTTCTTAAAGCTGCATGTCAGATGGTGTCGCCCTCTGCTAGAAGGCCTGTCAGTGGGTTGCCTGTTGTCTAGAGAACAGACTCAGAGCCCTTAGTGATTCGGAGGGCGGATGAGATTGGTGCTCTTCCAGTTCCTCTTGTTGTGTCCCCGTCCTTTCTCAGTCCTTCTCAGGCATGACAGAGTACGCCCGCCACCTTCCCCACGAGGGACACTTGCCCAATGCGCCCTTCCTTCGTGCTCTCCTCGGACCTCAGCTGTCCTTTCTCGATTCACCACTTACATCCATATGGTGCTTTACAGTGTTTAAAGTCTTTTCCACTTGTTCTCTCATTTGATGCTCATATAAGAGTAGTTGATGTTCATGTCTGTGAGGAAACTATTCAGTAAGGGTGACTGGCGCATCCTGGGTAAGGATGGCTGGCACACTGTGGGCCTGGTGCCCGTTTTCCCCACCTCTGCCACTTTTCCCCTGGCCCTCGAGGTTCTTTTCTCTTAACCCCCTTAATTCGTTCCGAAATCCAAGATGTGTCGTTTACCTTTGTATTCTCCATAATGTCTAGCACGGCGGACTCTATCGGCACACCTGTCTGGTAGGTGCTTAGTCAACCCAGGAACCCCTTGACAGTCCAATCCCTTTGTCCTTGGGTTCAGATAATGAGGGAGATTAAATCTGTGTAATTGGTTCCCAAGTGCCAGGTAACAAGGGATTTGTGTGACTCTGCTCAGCTCTTGAATGCAGACAGTAAGAATTCAGATACCAAGAGTTGAGATAGTAAGAGATACCTTCATTTCCTAATGGAATTAAATCAAACATTTATTGGGTGTCTAATCTGTCCTTAAAATCATTTAGTTGCACTATCTCATTTTGGAAGTGAGTGTAAGATCCAAAGAGGTCAATGAGTTTTGTAAGATCAGTCTATTTATATGGCATAAGAATTAGGACTAAAGTTTAAATCTAACCACAATTTGGTCCTCTCTCCTCTACACCATGCTTTCCGATGGATTTGGAGAGAAGGCCTCGTGCATGACCAAAGCATAATAGAGATTAAAGTATTCTTGGGGAGGGATACAGATACAGACTGTCTGGATTACAGAGTCTGTGTGTCAGCCTTGATTGGAATCTGGTTGTAAAAACCTTGTAAAAGACATTTTTGGTCCATTGGAGAGATTTTATTATGTTCTGTATATATTAGGGAAGTAATGTTAATTTCCTTAGATGCGGTGATGGTATTGGAATTATGAAGAGAATATCCACATTCTTAGGAAATGCAAACCAAAGTATTTAGGGGCCAAGTTTCATAATGTCTGCGACTTACTTCCAAATGGGACAGATGGGTGGATGGACCAAGAGAGGGCAAGCAAATACAGCAAAGATGTTAACATTTGCTGAATCTAGAATAGTGGGGCTAGGTGATTATTGTACAGTTCTTTCCATTTTTCTGTATGCTTGAAATTTTGCATAATCAAGATTTGAAGGTGGTCAGAAGATAAAAACTTCTGCTTAGAAGATCAGTAAGTCTCGGACGTACTGTACAGCGTGGTGGACTACAGTTAACGATACTGTGTTGTTTTTGTATTTGGAAGTTGTTGAGAGAGTAGGTCGTAGAAGTTCTCACCACAAGAAAAAAGAATCGTAACTTGTGGCAGTGAGTGTGAACTGGACTTGCTGTGGGGCTCACTTCTCAGTATATACAAACACCGAGTCGTTATGTCATACACGCAAACTCACACAGTGTTGTAGGTCAGTCATACCTCATTTAAAAAGCGTTTTTTGGGGTGGAGAAGTGCAGTTGAATGGCCCCGGCTGTCTTGGTTCTGTTTGCTGACTTCACTCTTTCTCTCTGGTGAAGGTCTGGGGGTCCTGATGCAGTCGTTCCATTGGACACGGTCCTTACATAGGCGGCGGCAGGATTGTGGCACTGTTGTGTGTGCGAGGGCAGCCCCGCATGCGTCAGTAGCTTGTGGGCCCTCCTCCAGCATGACTCGGGGGCTTTGCCCGGGAAGGCCCACCGCCTGGGGTTAATGTAGCTTTCTGACAATGACCTGGGATGGTTTGCTAGAGCTACGTTATTACGCCACTGCAGGGTTTCAGGGTGCAGGCCTCTGCCGTCTGGTTTATGCCGTATCTTCACTGTAGCTTCCAGTTTGTGACGTGGCTCTCTGTTGGGTCATTCTTCAATCTTGGCACTTCCTTTAGAAGGTAGCAAGACCCAGATAAAACATGAATCATGCTGAAGGCTCAGAGCTAAAGAGAAAGGATTCCAGCTACTGTGATTCTTCTCAGTTTTGATACATTTAGCAAATGGATCTGATAGTTGCCAAACATGTCAAGGGAGGCAAGGGTCCCGTATGGCCGCCTCACACAGCTCAAGCCAGAGAAGCACAAAGATGAGGTGATGCACTCGTCATCTGTTCTGTTGCGCTCTCCTCAGATCAGCAGGTTCCTCATTAGACAGGAAATGAATCCTTTAAGGCGAGAAGATCCTTGTGCCCAAATCAGGTAAATACAGCAGTGACATGCAGTTCTTGGGACACTGACGACCTGAGCATTTATCTCAAAGGCGTGTCTAGAGATGTCTCCGCTCTCTGTCACGCTCTCATACTCCTGCCCACGTGGTCTTGGCATGTGCTGAGGGGAATCAGGAGACCCTAAGCCTGGCGAGTCTCTCCCCACCCAAAGGGGAGAAACCAAGTAATTCTATTCCCTTACATTAGAGGTGTAAGTGATTCTAACCCACACATGTGCCAGAATGCTTGCTATTATTGGTATAGAGTAGGGAGAGAATTTGTCTATGTAGTAAAGACCATGCGTGCGCGCACACCACACACCAAGTCATGTGATTAGAGACCAGTCTGTGTGAACTACTCAAGTTTCTTATTTATAATTTTTCATATAGCTTGTTTGTCATTTGTATTACTTACCTAAGTAATACAGATTCAGTGGACTTTGTTAACAGAGTGCTTGCTGGAAAAAATCAAGTCAGTAAGAATCCTGTACTCTATTATTGAACTATGGGACGTGCTTGCAGTTCTGGCTTATTTCTTGTGGAGGCCTGCAGCTGTATTTTCGCAACGGGATGAAAGAACATACTTGGGCAGAGTCAGATCACACAGATAATCAAGGAGAATTCTGAGATTTATCTAGAAAGCCAAATTCCAGGCACACTGTGTTTTCTTGGTGAGAGTTTGGCACGTGTTTTTCCAAATATTTTTCTGTGCATTTTTGTACAGTGAAATAAACACTTTGTCTAATCATGGGAAAGGAGGAAACCTTACTGAAGCCAGTGACCTTGATTAGACAAGAGGGGTGGGATCTGGGGCCAGCTTTAGCTAAATTAGGGGTGCCTTGTCCATGGCAGCAGGGAAGGAGCCGGAGCCGGTGAGCCCAGACTCAAGGGTTGGTCAGTTTGGTGGACGGAGTATGTAGAGTTCTCTCATGAATGCTGTGAGCTGGAAAACACAGTTACCAGCTGAGTGTGAGAATGGGGGAGAGGCTTTAGAAATCCCGGGAGAAAGTGAAGGCATGAAAGCTGCATCCGGGGAGTGACTAGACCAGGGGAGTGCAGTTGGGTGGTGCCGAGGGTCCCCTCTGGAGTCCAGGTCCCAGCGGTAAAGTGAGCTGGGCCCCTCTGGCTGTGCGGCTGCAGGTGCCGAGCAGGCGATGGCTGGCCGAGAAGGAAGCTGCAGTACGGTGACAGCAGGCGTGCGCTGTGGGCTCAGTGCCGGCCAGGGAGGACAGTGAGGATGAGAAGTGGTTAAGGGACAGAGAAGTGTCCTCGGACAAAGGAAACCCTTCCCTGTGGGGCTGAGAACTGGGGAGTTTGGGGTATTGAGGGAGGGAGGGAATGAGAGCGAGAAAGAAGATGGGTGATGGAGGGTACTTGACATTGGGCGATGGAGGGGTAGCTGTTGGTATTGACGAGACCTAGGTGCTGCCCCTTGAGGCTTTTGAGAACAGGGGCAATTTTTGATTATCATCAGGGACGGGTGTTCAGCCTAAGAGGGGAATCCCTGCCCAAAATACCAGTGACTCCTCATGAAGGGCCTGTGGGGCTGCCCAGGCGGCTGAGCGGCGGCGGTGGGGAACGACTGGTCATTGGAGGAGAGGAGGCCGCAGGGCTGAGAGCGGTGTTGGAGACAGTGCCGCCGCTCCAGAAGGGAGAGGGGAAACGACTCGGGGCTTATATGGGCTCGAAGCTGGCTTACATCATTGCAGAGCTGTGTACGAGTTGAAGCTGAGCGTTTCAGGGAAGCGGGGGGCACAGGTCTGGAGGGGTTAGTGGGGTGCGGGAAGGGCGCCTGCCCTGCTGTCGGTCCCGTGGCTCAGGGCTCTGAAGAGGGAACCCTCCTCCCGGGAAAGCAGCGTTCAGATGGGAATGAGAGCTGACAGGTGAGCGGGTGCTCGTACTGGACCCTGAAACTCTAGAGGAACCAGAGCGGGGAGGGACTTCTTGGGCTGCGGCCGGTGAAAACGGGTCAGAAGCGTGATGCAAGGTTAGCTCCCGAGTCAGGAGGTGGCAGGGGTGAGGTGTGGGGCAGGAAGGGAGTCTGGGGACCTCCACCCGCCGGGGCGACGGTGGGCGGTGGGCCTTCTTCAGTCCTGCCAGCAGTAGAAGTATTCATCAGGGTTCCACTTTAAAACTAATGCGGTCTAGTTTTCTCTTTGATTTTCAGACGGCTGTTGATGTCTTTAGAAGGATAATTTTGGAGGCAGAAAAAATTGACGGGGCCGCTTCACAAGGAAAGTCGTCCTGCTCGGTGATGTAACCTGCTGCAGAACCGGACACTGGGAGTCGATCCTGCCCGAAGAAGCAGACTGCCCGTTATCCTTTAAGATAAACTCAGCTTCTTTTTCCTTCTGTTAACCTGAAAGATTTCATTTGGGTCAGAGCTTTTTCCTGCCCCACCCCCCTTTCAGATTATGTTAAACTCTGACTCTGTCCAAATGAGTTCACTTCCATTTTCAAATTTTAAGCAATCATATTTTCAATTTATATATTGTATTTCTTAATAATATTATGACCCAAGAATTTTATCGGCATTAATTTTTCAGTGTAGTTTGTTGTTTAAAATAATGTAATCATCAAAATGATACATATTGTTACACTACTATTAACTAGGCTTCGATATATCAGTGTTTATTTCATTGTGTTAAATGTATACTTGTAAATAAAATAGCTGCAAACCTTAACCCCTCGAGCTACTTGGTGTGGCCTTTAAAGAAGAAAACGTGGTCCCACTGAGGGAACCTTTCCCTGCCTCGGTGGGTGGGGGGGCTCCCGCTGGGGGTGGGGGTGGCCGCGGGCCGGCCTGCTGACCGCAGGGGCTCTGGGGCTCTGGGGCTCTGGCACCTGGCAGGCCCACCAGATGGCAGGGCCGTGGGACGGTTGGGAAGAGGCCCAGAACTGGGCTGGCTCTCGATCGACCCCAGCTGCTGAGTGGCCTTGGAGGGTCTGTGAGGAGAGTTAGTCCCCAGTAGTGACTGTTCTCCCCTGCACCCTCAGAGCCCCCACCTTGAGTGGGGGGCTTCGTGCCGTGGGGGCACCGAGCAGAGCTAGAGCCTTCTCCCTCTCCCTGCTGCTTGCCCGTAGGCCACCTGAAGACAAGGGGAAGTTAAGAGTCACTTCCTGTTTCTCCTTGGGCCTTGCTTGATGTCCACCGCAGACAGGATCTGATTCAGATCCCACAACACTGAGTCGTTTCAAGGGCAGGGAATGTTGCCAGTAAGTGTTGTGGGGGGGGCTTGGGAGAACCTCCTTCAGACCCCGACCACACCCCTCCCTCTCCGCAGGGACCAGCGAGAAGGAGGAAGGAGGGTTTCCTTTGCTCAGTGGCCACCAAGTTGACTCTTAAGTCCCACTTGAGTGGCGCTTTCCCAGTGATGGTGCACAGAGCCAGTCCCGACCGCGAAGCAAACGTTATCACTGACTTTATTAATAAAATACAGTTTTTCAAATACTCAAAATTTTCTTTGACAGCACAGTACTGATTTCTCATTAACAGAGTTTATTCTTAGGCCTTGTGTTCTACATGGGTCCTCCGTGTGTGGGACTTTGTTAAATCTGGATCCACTTCACCCGGGCAGCCTTTTTCATCTGAAAAGAATTTCTGTGTAAATGGGAACTTTGAACACCATGTTCGTGCCGGAAGCCAGCTCTCACCAAGTGATCCTTGGAGGACCCGGGCCCTGTCTGGAGGTGGTCTGGGCTTCCTTTATGTGGTGCTGTTCACCTAGTCACTCCGATAGTTACGTTCCTTTTTTTCCAAGTTTTTCTTTAAATGTCAGTTAACATACAGTGAGACTGTTCTGCGTGTCATGAACACAGCAGGGAAACCTGCACCCTTAACAGAGCTTGCATCCAACCTTGAGCCTTGGAGATACTACAGGCCGGGCCGGGCCTGCTCCCCAGTGCGTTGATCCCATCCGCAGGCAGTTGACTGACGTGCTGGATGGACTGAGCGTGTTGTGTGTTCCAAACGTGGTGCCGCAGCTCCAGATTTCAGTGACAACGAGTTCATTCCCTTGAGGTGCCGATGGGAGGTGGTTGGTAGTCACCTGTGGTGTGCTGATGTTCTGGTTTGCTTCCCAGCCGCCCTATTTACAGATGAGGAAACCATCTTAAAGGTGTCAGCAATTGGTTAATGTCAAGGACCAATACCATTGTGTGTTCTCTCTGCTCATGTGATATCTGAGCTTCTGAAGAAATTCTAGCAACTGCCAGATTTGACTTAAATTTTTTGTTACTTTATACTGTGTTCAATCACTCACCTCTAGGCCTTTTTTCCTTATGTTTTAGCATTTCTGAAATCAAAAATGAGTCTTACGATCAATGAAAAAGCATCATGTTCGGAAAGATAATGTTTTTCTTAGTGGTACATAAATGTGGTCTTAGATTCATTGAAGTACAGTACGTACAAATATAAAACCAGGTATGTATTCAAAACTATTTTGCAGGGGTGCCTGGGCGGCTCGGTCGGTTAAGTGTCCAACTCCTGGTTTCGGCTCAGGTCATGATGTCAGGGTCGTGAGATCAAGCCCTGTGTTGGGCTCTGTGCTCAGCGTGGACTCTGAGAGTCTTTCCCACTCTGTTCCTCCCCCCACTTGCACTCTCTCAGATAAATAAATAAAATCTTTATTGACATAAACTCTTCTGCAGCTCACAATTAATACAAATTAGAAAATCACATTACAAATTTAAATTAACATGATGGAATTTTGCTCAAACTAGATTGTCCAGCCGCTTACCGTATCGAGACCGCCACGTCTCAGCCATGCCACTGACGGCGCGGCCCGCTTGCCCAAACTGCTCGTCACCCCCTTGTCAGCACACCCATGGGTCCTCCTGGTTGCTTCCTTGACCTTTCAGCAGCATCGCACACGGCTGGTGACTCCGCATGCCTTCTCCCTGCTTCCATGAAACCTTGTTCTCCGGGTCTCCTCTGGCGCACTGTGGGCATGAGTCTCCTTTGCTGTTTCCTTCTCTGCCAGACCTCGGCGGGCCCTTGTCCTCCCTGCACCCTCTTCCCTGGTTTCCCTACGTTTACTACCACATTTCCCGAAGGCCCCAAAGCTCACACCTGCCCCCCTGACCTCTGTGGGCTTTTCTTGTCTTAGATGTGCGACCTCTCAGGTGTGTTATGTCAAAATTGAATACTTGATTTCCTCAGAAGCCTGGGCCTCCCCTAGACACTGATTCAGGAAATCACACCACTGCCCACTAGATACTAAAGCTAGAAAGTGGGGCGCCATCCTCTCCCTCTTCCTCGTCTCCCATGCAGTCCACCCTGGTGCATACTGGCTTCCCGCGGTAGGTAGCACTCCCAACCCTTCACGTCGTGGACCAAGTCAACTTGTTTAAGACAAACCATTTCATGGCACTCAAAATTCTCTCGTAATAATCATGCCAAAATCCAAACTTCCAATGCTTGAAGCCCAGCACGATCGAGCTGGTGCTTAACCTCATCTGCCCCCGAGGCCATGCTCGGGTCCCTTTGGCCTTGGTGGTTCCCAGACAAAACGCTCTTCTCCCTCCAGAACGCCCTTCCCCAGACTTCCCACCCCCCCAGGCCACCACGTGGGCTCCTCTCCGCGAGTCTGAGCCCTCACGCTCTGTCACCCGGTACGGCACCTGCCGCGCTCCATCACTGTGGGTCCTTGTGCACACCGTGTGTTCGCCGACTAGATCCACCTGGAGCGGACACAGTGATCCATCTGTCCCAGGCACCCTGACTCCCCAGCGCCCCCGAGCACGGGGTCTGCTGAAAAAGATTGCCCAGTGCACTAGTTCACTCAGCCGTGTCTGTCATAACATGTATTTTTTTGTGATTTTCTTAGTGGTTGCCCTAGGAATTATAATGAACATCTTAATTCATAACCATCCAGTTCGGATTAATGCCATTTCGATAGCGTACAAAAACTTGGCTCCTATATATAGCTCATGCCCTCCTCCCCATTTGTAGTATTGTCCTACAAATTACATTTTTATGTGTTGTATAAAGTGAATAGATTTGTTATTGCTTTATGAAGTCATCTTTTAAATCAAATAGGAGAAAGAATTACAAAAAAATACATTCATCCTGTCTTGCGTACTTACCTGTGTAGCGACCTTTCCCGGTGCTCTGTAGTCATCCAGTTTCCTTGGTTCCAGCCTGAGACTCCCTCCAGCATTTCTTGCGAGCAGGTCTGCCAGCCCTGAATTCTCTGGAGGTTTTGTTGCTCTTCATCTTTCCAGGAAGGCCTTGTTGGATGTAGAGTTCTGGGTGCAGAGTGTTTCTCCTTCGGCCCTTCCCCGCCCCTTCTGGTTGAGGTTTCTCATGAGCAGGTGCAGGCCACGCGTGTGGTGTTCTGGGCTCCCAGGAGCCTGCTGCCTTTTCAAAGGCCCCTTGGACACCTCCTTTTCCAACACTTTTCTTTCTTTCTTTTTCTTTTTTTTTTTTTTAGGCTGTTTTGTTAGCTTGCTGTTGGCCCCAATGTCAAATAAATGGCTGCCGACTGTTTTTAACAGACACCATGGGAAACAGCGGTTGGGTCAAATAAAACCAAGACTTGGCAGTGGGGGTTTTCCAGGGAACTGCTGGATGTGACAAATGAGTTTTCTGAATGCAGGGCTTTGAAAGAGCTCCAACCCCCTCTTGACCCTTCCGGGGCTGCCGTAGTGCTGGTTTGTCCCAATTGCGGCTGCTGATTTGCAAGGCACCTGGGAGTTGGGGTCAGGGTCTGGCAAGAGGGCAAGTGATGATGCCCCAAGGCTCACTGGTGCTGAGAACCATTCGCTTTTCTTAAATAAACACCCCCTGGTTGTTGCAAGCCTTTAGTTAATGTCCAGAATCCTGAAGAAGTCAATTTAGGGGGGACGGTTTTTACTGGTGTTCTCGCTGGGTTCTCAAAGGTCCCTACGGCGGTGTTCCCAGTGACGTCCCTGCAGGGCCTGCGCAGTGGGACGGGTGAGTGGATGAACCCTTCTGTGGGCTGCCTTCTAAATGGTTCCTTTGAAATTGGCCCACGTCCATTGGGGTGTGGTTGAAATTCCCCACCACCCACACAGGGTGCTGGGACAGCCTCTACTCACTTCCTGAGCCTACCCCTTATGGGCTCATAAGAAGGAAGGTTGGTGCCGTCTGCCAGGGTCAATGCAAACAGCCTGGGACTCAGATGGCGGCAGTACTTGGTCATCAGGAAGTCATTCAGATGACCCAGAATACACTGCTGCCTTTTCGGTTATCGTGGTTATGGAAGTACGATTGAAGAGTTCTTGGAGAGGCCTGGGCTCCAGGAAAGCCTCTCTGGCTCCTGTGGGCTGCGGCCGGCCTGAGCGGAGCCCCCCAGCCCGAGCCTCATCAGCCCTGCCTGCAGCATTTCCAGAGCGCGTGCCTGCCCCATGCCTCAGGCTGCCCTGGTAACCAGTGGACCAAGACTGTGGTGCATATTAATAGGGCCTGCCGGGAAGGCTGTACCAGCGGGGAAACCAGGATGCCTCCCGAAGCATTCCTCCGGAGACTCCGGAACCATTCCCTCTCTCTTCCCCCTCCCCAAGAGGGCAAAGTTTTACATTAAGCAGAACTGCTGTGTTACCCATCCTGATGATATTTCTGTCCCTTTGATGACTTCCCTGGTGTGGCAGGCGGTCTGCTCTGGAGTTAACAACCGGAAAGCTGAGAGCGGACTTAGCATCCCTGTTTCCAGAGGCCGGACCTGAGGCCCAGAGATAGCTCCCAGCAATTAGTCCATTAGTATGTACTATACCCCAGTACCCACCAGGAACCCCACGTAAGGTGGAGCTTAGGACTAAGACTCAGAACAGGGGCGCCTGGGTGGCTCAGTTGGTTAAGCAACTGCCTTCAGCTCAGGTCATGATCCCAGGGTCCTGGGATCGAGCCCCGCATCGGGCTCCCTGCTCCGCGGGAAGCCTGCTTCTCCCTCTGCCAGCCGCTCCCCCTTCTTGTGCTCTCTCTCTCTGTGAAATAAATAAATCTTTAAAAAAAAAAAAATAGTAAGACTCAGAACAAAGCAGTTCTGGTCCCAGCTCTGCAGCTAAAGTGTGTCTTCGGGCAACTCCCTCACACTCTCTGGTCTTGATTGGCCCCGGACTGTTGTCATGCCACAAGTAGGAAAATCTTGGCTGTCCGCAAAGCCCTAATGAATGCAGCATCACAGTCCTGAGGATTGCGAGCCGCCCCCGTGCCAGCCCGAGGCCTGTACCTGCTACCCGGGTCCCGCTGTTTCTGAAGCTTCCATGTGTGGCCAGCAGCACTGGGTATTGTGGGTGACTCCGGGATTCCCGCAGCCTGCACACCCAGAAAGACACGATGGAGAATCACCAGTGACCTCGACACGCAAGTTTACCAAATCCAAAAAAACGATTTCATTCTGGTCTGGCCCAAGGTGTCAAGAACACATGGGTCTCCAGCCAGGCTCATCAGGGAAATGCAGGTCTGCCACCGAAGGCCCCTGTCGGGACCAACGGAGCTCAGCCTCCGCCAGACCCTGTCGCGGTGCCGTGGAGAGTGCCCTAGTCTGTGGGCAGACAGCTTGCTCCCTCAGGTGCCGAGTGGGGACCTCAGTGCACCTTCCAAGGAGAAGAAGCCCGTGCGGAACACGGGCTCCAAAGGCCCCTCCACCTCCCACATTCTGTTAAAGCCCAGGAAGCGGCCTTGGCTAAGATCTGTAAGGCATGAAGTTTCTCAGGAAATAGCCACAGATTCTGGAATTATTATGGCCTCAGCAATCAGGACCTTTCACCCAGTTCTTCCTGCTGCCCAAGAACGGCCCAGGCCTCCCGATATAGTACAGAAACCGAACGACCCGCTCGGCTGCCTGCTCTCAGAGGGAGCACATCCTGCAGGACTCGCTGGCTTGCTAGGGTTTGGCTTTACCCTTTTATTCCCTCTTCCAGCCCCTATCACTGTAGATTAGCCAAGAAGCCAAGTAAATCAACACCGTAATCCCTGGCTTTAGTATGTGGCACGGCTGTGGGCTTGTGCTGTCCTGAACTTTACCCTAAAAGGCTGACGCAGAGGGCCAGCCTGGCCGTGGCAGCTGGAGCAGCCGGAAAGCTTACATTCCTCAGCTCTGACGTGCCGATTTTTAGGATCCCATAACCGAAATCATTCCGAGGCACAACCCTTTCTGTGCCTGTAACTGGGGCATTATGGGAGGTTGTAAAGTGCTCGGAACAGTTGGAAGTCCACGGCTGGCTCCCCTGCGAAGACTGGGGCGGGCAGCTCCAGCTCAGGTGGGTGGTTCTCGAACGTGGGCCTGCCTCGGCGTCACCGGAAGGGCTGGCTAAAACACACGGGGCCTCAGCCCAGAGCTTCTGATTCTGGTGGTGCAAGCTGGAGCCCGAGACATCCTCACTGCTACCGAGTACCCAGGGCTGCTGCTGCTGGTGGTTCAGGAACCATGTTTTGAGAACCGCTGACTTAGGCCATGATACCTACATAAAGGGGGACAGGCAGGAGTCCCGTGACTGTGGGATCTCAGAGTGGAGGGGGGTGACCGAACGCCCACTCTGCCGGGGACTAGGGGGCCGCTGTAGGTTGAACTGGGTCCTCCAAAAAGCTATATTGAAGTCCTAATCCCGGGTACCTGTGAACGTGGCCTTACTTGGAAATAAGGTCTTTGCAGATGTCATCAGGTTCAGTGAGGTCATACCGGACTAAGGTGGGTCCCAGTCCAGTGGCTAACGTCCTTCTAAGAAGAAATCTGGATCCAGAGAGCCAGGACGCGCAGGGAAGCAGGCCATATGGTGACGGAGGCAGAGTGGGCAGGGGCAGAAGCGGGCAACAGACTCTCCCTCCGAGCCTCCAAAAAGGAACCAAGGCTGTCCACATCTGGATTTTGGACTTCTGGCCTCCAGGACCGGGAGAGGACCCCCCAGACTGTGGCTCTCTGCCGGGGCTGCCTAAGGAAACTCGGGCACAACTTGTAACGTGGGACTTCGGGCAAACCCGAGCGAGTTGGCCATCCCAAATGACACGTGGCCAGAACTCTGCCGTTGACAAAGGAAGAAACTAAAGGTCGGAGTTGTGACCTGCTGTCTAGTCCACTGGGGCCACCATGACAGAACGCCACAGCCTAGTGGGATTGGGGCAAGGTGTTATTTCTCATCGTCCAAAGGCTCACATCCAAGATCAAGGTACACGCAGATTTGGTGTCTGGTGAGAGGCGCTTCCTGGTCCGTAGACAGCTGTCTTCTTTCTGCGTCCTCTCATGGTGGAAGAGCCAGGGAGCTCTTTCCTGAGGGCACTCTGGTCCCATTCATCACAGCTCCGCCCTCATAAGCTAAGCACCTCCCAACACCAGCACCTTGCAGATCAGCTGTCAGCATATGATTTGAGGGGGCACATACATTCAGTGTACCGCTCCTGACGAGGGTCTCCTAGCAAATTCCTGAGATCCAAGCCTAGAACCCATTTTCTAAGAGTTGACCGTGACCCCCAGATGATTGCCGTACACATGAATGCATAGTATGTATACCCATGTATGAACCTATGGACGGCCGTCCAAGCGGGCGGGGTGGGGGGGGCGCTTAGTGCACATTCAGTTTCTGTCCTTCTGGGATAGAGCTCTAAAATTTGCATTTCTGACAAGTGCAAAGTGATGCCAATGCCCTTGGACCAGAGGCCACACTGGCTGGGTTATACCTCCCCTTGGCAGCCCCTGGAATAAATAAAGATCTGGCACTGCTTGCCCGAGGACGGGGACCCACGTTCTCACCCTTGCTCTGCCACCAGGGGGATAGTCCACATTCCTGGATACACCTCTCTTCTCCCATCTGCAAAATGAAGAAGCATTTGAACCAAATTGGTTGTTCCCAATTACGCATGTTTCTTGAGCTGGATGAAGATGTTCTGCTGCAAGAATTTAAATTTCCCAATTTTAAGCCAAAAAAATGTTTTTTCAACGTTAAGGCGTTTCTCCGTCCCCCCCCCACAATTTTTCTTTAACAGGTAGCAGGTGCAGCCACTTGCCAATGTGATTGAACCCCAAATTATACCTGGATTTTAAGTGCTGTGTCAGTGAGTCAGATGCTTGGCGGGCCTGGTAACTTCGGGGCTGCTTGAGAGCTGGCGGGAGCCAAGGTCCACGAGCCAGGTTTGTGCTTTCGCCCCCTCGAGTCTGAGAAAGGCACAAATCTCTGTGCTGATTTCTTCTTCCACAGTTCCTGACCCTCCCTCGGCCGCTCCTGCCACGGGGTGGGGTCCTGAGGCCCGCCCTCTGCCTGCTGGGCGGTCAGCTTTTCCCCACACTGGGGTGGAGCTCCTGCTGCAGATAGTTTTGCTCCAAAAGCCAGACCTCTCTCCCAGCGTGAACTCCACAAACTTTTCATCCTGCGATGCTGCTATGGAAATCGTGACCCCCGCTAGTGTTAGCCGACTGTGCCCTCATAACGTGCCCCCTTCCTTCCCGTTCTGCCTCTGCCCCCAGCTGACCCGACCGGCTGGCCCTCCGCAGTTCTCTGCCGCCATCAAGACTCTCACCAGGTGAGGGCGCCTGGGTGGCTCAGTTGGTTAAGCGACTGCCTTCGGCTCAGGTCATGATCCTGGAGTCCCTGGATCGAGTCCCGCATCGGGCTCCCTGCTCC